ACACACACACACACACACACACACACACACACACACACACACACACACACACGTAAGCCCTTTGCTCCTCAAAAGGCAAAACATTGGATTTGGATTGAAAGGAGATCCTATCTGAAGGTGATAGGAGAAGTTTAATGAGCTGGTTATGGGTTATGGGATCTTGTTGAGGAAGATTAGTTCTCTATTCCCAGAATAGTGTTTATCCTACTGATGGACACCTGTGAGGCAATCTGGGTGAAACTGCCTGTGAACCAGAGAGTCCTGCATAATGTGTTGCTTTATATAATCATGCCATGGTTATATGAATATGTGAGGTCCATCATGTGTGCATCATGGTAACTTACTGTGCTAAGAAATTCATATGTACAAAGCTCAGACTTCACATAGCTGTTTTAGATAAGGCTTGATTGACAGTCATCTGTAGTAGAGAACTCAGATCTTGGATCTTGAGGTTAAGAAAGGGGAAAGAACCCCAGTGGTACTTGGTTGCTTGAGAGTCCATGCCAACCCCTCAGGTACTGAACACCCCTTTCTTATAGGGAGTCAAGACATGCCGCCTTTGAAGGACTGATTCTATGGAGGAGGGCAGGTAATCAGCCACCTGCTTTGTGAATAGGAATACATTTAATGAATCTCAATTGATATTTACTGTATTGCTGGGATTAGCCATATGCTGTAGAAAAGTAAGCAGAGTCCTGATTTTTTGGGATATAGTAGTTTTTAGAGTGCAGGCCAGGCACTGAGTTTCAGTATAAGGGAATTCGATGGATGACTGGTGACATTACCTCAGAGAACTGTGCAAAAGGTGACTTGAAGGCAGTATACAGATCAAGCTGGACAAAAGCCACACTCAGTCTCATGTTGGTCAGGGGCTTAGGTGGAGATAACGCAAACACACAGTGGAAGAGAGTAGGGAGACCTAACAAGAACCTAAATCTGACTCTCAATTTTTCTTGTGTACATGCACAAGTGGTGTGTGTGTGTGAGTGGTGTGTGTGTGTGTGTGTGTGTGTGTGATATAGGACCTTCTGTTTCTTGCATCTTTTACCTTGGGAAAAAGAATTCTACTCAGTGCTATTCATGCCAAGTGTACCTGACCTGAAGGAAGATGACCCGTTTGGGGACTACAAACCTGTAGTTCTACCTTACTTACTCTCTAGGGTCTTGTGAGTACATGAATGTGAAATATTACATAGACTTCAAATATTAGATCTGCAGATCATGACTTCAGACCCTCCAGTTTCCTAAAGAGTAAGCTCTGTTAAAAGTCCAGACTATGAAAGAAATTCCTTTCCTTTTGGAGAGTATTTGCAGAACATTCTTTTGGCTACAGCAAAGGAAAATAAAATCAATAATGATATATTTTATAAAAGATGGAAGCAGAACGTGTTTGACTTGGAACCTCTTATCATCCGTCTCTGGTTCTCAGGAGATAAAATTGCTGAGCCACTTTTTGCATTAAGAAGGAGGGGGAGTTAGCAGGCCTGTTTGTTTCTTTTTGTTTTCTACAAAAATATATCCTCATTCTCTTACCAGACTCCTGAAGTCAAGTTTGAGAGCGGCATAAACAGAAGATCTTCTGGGTTGATTTTAGCTAAAATATTTTTTACCACTTAAAACAAAAAGTCTTATTTCCCATTCACATGGTGACGTGTATTCAGATGATATTGCCTCCAGATATAGAGGAAAACAAGAATGTTTACTACTGTCCAGGGGTGAGAGAGGGGTGTGGTCAGGAGGGTTCAGAAGTCCTTATATATGGCTATCTCCTTTCCAGTGCTTTTTTTCTTCCACATGGCCATTGTGGTTATAGGACTGGGAGATTGTTGGAAGCTGTTGGGCATCAGGTTATGCTGATGGGAGAGTGTGAAGGAATTTGGTTCCATTTACAAGGCATTTGAGGAAAATTTTCTGTTATTGATCTGCTTTCAGATCAGACTCCGACGCCCACAAGATTCCTGAAGAACTGTGAGGAGGTGGGTCTCTTCAGCGAGCTGGACTGCTCCTTTGAGCACGAGTTCAGGAAGGCTCAAGAGGAAGAAAACAGCAAAAGGGTAGGTGGGCTCAGGGTGAATACCGGAGATGTGTCCTCCAGCACCGTGCGGGAAATGTCTGGCACTGCAAACTGTGTCAAAGTATTCTTAGATCAGTATCTTAGGACAAGATCCTGCTAAGTAGTTCAGGCTGTTACTCACAATCCTAGTGACTTGACCTTCCAAACACTGGGATTACAGGTGTGTGCCACCATGCCTGTTTGTAATAGTTTTTTTATTATTGATTTGCGGGTGTCTGTCAAACTCTTTCCTCTTAAAGTTATATGTCTCTGGCTATGATAGCATTACAGAGATCAGATTAATCATGGGGAAATGAGTGTCTGAAACATGGAAATTTAAAGTCTAGAAAAATATTACCTTATTCTTAAAGCTGTGCCAGACGAATCCACCCTCAGCCATGTCTTTTTCTTTGTTAAGTATTTAACAGCAGATCTTGCATAGGTGATGTGCTCAGAGGAGACCAGGTCAAAGGACAAGAACAGCTGACTCATCAAAGGCAGGAAAGAGGCTTTTCATCTGATCTGGGCCCTGCCTGCAACTCTCTGTTTTTCATAATCTCTGGTTGTTCTCTACCAGATGTCTAACCACTTCCTGGTCACGTTGCCTATGGTGTTGACGAGACAAACAGGTTAGCTACAACTGTCGGTCACTTGGTGGAATTCTCCGGGTTCTTTCAGTCCATATATTTGTCTACATACGCTGTCCATATATTTAAATTTTTGGTAGAATTTTAAAATCTACTCACAAGATGAAGGAAAGGAGGTCAGCTCGCAGATAAATTTGTCAAGTGCGCTTTCCATGACTTCTTTGTTACAGTCACAGGGTGTCACTGAATCCACACAGTGAGCTGGACATGTGAGACGCCGTCCAAGGATAGAAATGTAGAACACAGAAGACCGTTAAAGGGGACACCCAGCTAGATGGTGGTGTGACCTGAAATTCCAGATGCTCTAACTGGAAAAGAAGTCTTGAACGGCTTTGATAATTCTCTGTGTCCAGGCCTTTGACTCTTCCTCTGTATAGGATTATAGTGATCCTTCTCCATCCCATTTTCATGTCCCATTCACACGTCTCGCTAGCTAATGACTGGCACACATTGACCAAGCTGCACTCCGTTAGTAAAATGTATGGCATTTACAGGGTACGGTCTCAAGCAGCTCTCTCTATGTGTCATGAACTTCCCTCTCACTCCTCTTCCTTCTTTTCTAAACATACCCAGATCCGTTGTTCTTTGCTGAAGCATAAAGTCCTGAGCACTCTCAGAAACACTTTACAAAAAAGAAAACTAGAAGTTATGCCTGCATATCACTGCAGTGAAGATAAACTTAAATTCCCACGAGAATAGCGAGGGAGAATCAGGGAGCCGCACACAGCAAATTCCCTCTACTTGACTAATAAGTAATTCTTTTGATGAATTCAGATACATAGAAGGCTGTTTGAGGAAACAGCGTCATTCATTTTCCAAAGACAGTCAAAGCGGGATTCTTAGATAAAGATACGTATAGTCAATTCTGTCTTCATACTGTTTCTGTTAGACTGGTTGTAAGCGCATACCCTTGATTTCCTTAAAGGTCTTTTTACCAGGAACAGTTCTGTGCAGCCTTGGTTGGGGGTGTGGCTTGAGGCGTGCTCATGGTGAGTTATTCATGACTCCCCAAGTGAAGCTTTCTGCAAGCAGTTCTTACAGATCTGAATTCCAGGAAATGGTTTGCTTCCCCTGAGGAACCCGAGCGTTTTCTGCTTGTGGCCAGGAGAGGCATGTACTGGTCGTGTTTCTCTTCTCGCTCTGACTGCTTGATTATCACGCAGCCCCGAGTGCTGCTTGTCTTGGAGAGTTCTTTAGACCGCTATAATGAGTAATATTTTACTTCCTCTGTCTACTAGACTTTCAGTTCTAGTTTATATTTCCTCTGGCCCTGACTTCTAAATAAACAAAGAATATTTTCATGCTGTACATGTTTTGGTAAATTGCTTTAAATTTATCGTAGGTTAAAAATCCATGAATTCCTTTAAATGTAAGATTTAAATAATGAACGAAACGACACTGAGCAAAAGACTGTGGTGAGGCCAGGATAATGTCTTCTCATGTTCAAATATTGCTCATTGCCATGGGATGTGCTAATGATGGGGGTGTGGCGGGGGTGGAGAGGAGTCAGAAGACAGCCCCCTCAGGACACCATAACAAGCACTGGGAGCCAGGCCACAATCAGCTTGTTGAGGCTCCCTCTCCCTCTGTTTGGCGGAGCCATATGGACCAAATCCAGCCTCGGGTGGTCATCACTATACGAGGAGACCTCTGCCTAGTGACTAATGCACTGTGATTCGTGAAGCAGCAAAACAGCTGTGTTGGTGGCTTCTCCCCTGGTATGGCTTTGGAACCACTGAGTAAGGAAAGCACAGAAGCAATCTCCTTCCCCATCTGAGAGTGTGCTCTCACCTTCTTCCAGGACTGCTATTCCGGAGCTTTTAGCATCCCTGAAGGCCTGCAGCCTAAAGCAGCCCACTTCATCTATTCTTCTGCAGCTTAAAATAAAAGCAGAGCTGGTAAAGCCCAGGCTCACTGGATTCCTTTTCATTTTCCATCTACCTTCTTCTGCTTTCCTGTGCTGTACATTCAGGCGCTGGTCTCATTTTCAGCAAGCTTCTTCTCCCCAGTGCTGGAGGCGACAGGCAAGCATTTGCTCCTGAGAGATATCCCTAGTGCTGCAGGCGACAGGCAAGCATTCTGCCTCTGAGATGTATCCCTAGTGCTGGAGGCAATACGCAAGCATGCTGCCCCTGAGATAGATCCCTAACTCCAATTGTTTCACCTTTATTCTACACATAAAACTTTTTCTGATTTCTTTACCTCAGCGGAGTTCTCTTTCTCTCTGTCTCTCTCTGTCTCTCTCTGTCTCTCTGTCTCTCTGTCTCTCTGTCTCTCTCTGTCTCTCTCTGTCTCTCTCTGTCTCTCTCTCTCTCTCTCTCTCTCTGTGTGTGTGTGTGTGTGTGTGTGTGTGTATGTGTGTGTGTGTTCATGTGGGTGGGCATGCCATGCCTGGCTTTTATGTAAGTACAAGGCATCTGAACTCAGGTCGTCAGGCTTGTGTGGCATCTCCTGTGCCCAATCTTTGTCCAAGTTTTTTGATAAAGTACTTGAATTGACTCATCAGTAAAGTTCTATAAAAGGAAGTTCTCACTCATTTGGGGAATTGGCTTTTAATGGCCCAATGCTTCTTCTTTATATTTCCAGCTGTAGGGTTAGAAACTCTAGATAGTAGGCACATAAAGAGCGGATGCTTATTAGTTTGGGTGCCCATCGAAACAATTGCGTTTTATTGATTCTACCTTTAATTCTGATGTCCTTTTCCAAAATAATCTCAGTGTGTACATGGAATAAAAGGTTACAGCAGGTCACAGCCAGGGGCAGAAGATCCCAGTGTCTGTATCAAGATTATACAGCAAATTCCAGTCTCCAAGATGACCTCTATTTTTGATACTAATATAAGCTCATTGCCCCATAAACTCTTCTGTATGAAATCTCCGACCCTGAAAGCATGTTTCACTCTTTAGCAGGCATTGCAAAGCTCAGTTTGCCCATGGCTTAGCACTCGCAGCCTGTACCCTGAAGCCTGTGCATCAGGTTCCATTAAAGAAATGTTTTAGGATGACTCCAATATATCAAGTACTGCCTAAGACACTGCTGAAGACACCAACAGGTACGAGTGATTGAAACAAACAAGCAAACAAGCACACAAAACGTCTCAGCTTTCAGGTGGCTTACTTCTTATGGACCAGACAACGCACCAGTGGAAACTGCCCTGTGATGTGCTAAAGACTTCAGTGCAGCTGCCAAGTAGCTCAGGGAAGGCTGGGTGTGGTCACAGAGGGCATCCTGACCCAGGGGACCTAGAGACTCAAGTACAAGTTCTTAGTCAGAGAAGATGACTTGTGAGAACAGAGACTATGTGAGAAGGCCTGAGTGATGGAGTATGTGTTGGAGAAGTTGCAAAGAGAGGTACAGGCAGGGAAGGGTGCTCTAGAGAGCCGGGTGTGGGAAGGCAGCCCCATTTGGAGTGCTGAGTTTTGACTCTGTCTCTAAATGAGATGGAGCCATAGGATGATTCTGAGCAGAGAATTGACCGAGCCTGACGTAATGCTTTAGATAAGTCCTTTGGACTGTTGAGCAGAAAGCCAATGGTTGGGGCTAGAGAAAGTATTTAAAGAAGAATTGGGAAAAAAATCTAGGATAATGTTGGAAGCACATTTGCCCAAAATAGAGATGGTGGACATGCTAGGATCTAAGTACATTTTTAAGGACAGCAGCAATGGTTTTGCTGGTAGAATATACTGGATGTAACAGGAAGAGAAGGCTTTTCAGAACAGGTTGAGGAGAAGCTGATGTTTAACTTCATGAGATGGAAGGGAATTGCTGCTGAGAGCGCTGGGTGTGAAGTGGACCTCTAAGCATGGATCAGGGCAGTCTTCCAGAGCTCTCCAATTCCTGTCTCATTCAACTCTGGGGAAACTGAGTCAGGAAGAGTCAAACTGAGGTATGGCTCCCTCCGACACGCCGAGGAGAAAGGTGGGACGCTGGTTTTGTGATCATGGTCAGAAAAAAGGAAACATAAACAGGTTTTGTTTTTACATAAAGAAGACCTTTTATATTTCATTCCTTTCTAGAAAAGAATCTGAGTAACACAGAAGCAGGTATCTAGCCTACAGACACAGCAGCAGTTCTGCATGTAATGTGCAAGTAGTTGTTCTGCGTGGATGTGAACACATGGTTTTCTGCACATATTTGCATGTGGTGTGTGTGTGTGTGTGTGTGTGTGTAAAGAAGGAAGGACAATCAAAGGGACTAGAAATTAAATCTTTTGTCCTACTGAGAGAAATATAATGTTACAGCCTAACATGGTTAAAGACCTGCAGATAAGAAACACAGTGTGCATGTGCCTTGCTTTGGGATTTTCCCATAGGACCTCAATGTGGCTCATTATGCTGGTGCACAAATAGCAAAT